AGGGAGAGAGGGAGAGAGAGAGAGAGAGAGAGAGAGAGAGAGAGAGAGAGAGAGGATGTGCAACGTGCGCATGCGCAGAAGGCAGAGGAGAGGAGAACAGTGGAAATCTATGGGCCGGTTCTCGGGACGGAAGAGCCACCGCTGCTAGAGAGGCCCACTCCAGCTCTGGGGATAAAAGGCAGGGGGCGGAGATGAATAGATGTGGCAGACAACTATTCATCTTCCTGCCGGACTCACTTATGGTGATCTGATACCTGGATTGTCTGGAGGAATGAAGGCCCGGTATCCAGAAGACTCACAAAGCGGTGGCTTGAACAATTTTCAGCTTGTCAGGGAGCCAAGTTGGCTTAATCCCATCCCCTGTGTCAAATGCAGAGATTCGTTTCTAATTCCTTAATCCCAGACTCTTGAATAAATGATGGGACTCGTTGACTAATTGGCTGCCCCAGTTATGGCTGCGTTCAACCACACTAGGTTGTGTATTTCCCGACCACTTCTGAACAAGAATTAAGGGAGATCACACCCCAGGTTTTCCCTGGATCCCGGAAAGGTGAGACGTTTAATCCATCTCAGTTATGAGTATCATTGTTGAACCAATTTCGACCACATGGCTTAATAATAGGAGCTAATGGTGCAATCATCCCGGGTTAAAATTAGAATAATAAAAAGAAGCAATAAAACGCTCTCAGGTCGTTTCATTTCACCCCAAGACAGAAGCTGCAAATTTCTCCTATTGTTTGGTGAAGCTAATACAGGGCTTGGAGGATACATGCTGAATTATGCCTGGTAAAAACTCTCACTGTTTCTGAGACTCTCTCTCTCTGTGTCTCTCTCTCTCTCATCTCTCTCTCTCTCTCTGTCTCTCTCTCTCTCTCTGTCTCTCTCTCTCTCTGTGCTCTCTCTCTCTCTCTCTGGGTCTCTCTCACTCTCGTTCTCACTCTCACTCTCTGTCTCTCTCTCACTTTCTTTCACTCTCTCTCTGTTTCTCTCTCACACACTCTTTTACTCTCACTCTCTGCTGTCTCTGTCACTCTCTGTGTGTCTCTCTGTGTGTCTCTGTCTCTCTCTCACTCTTTCACTCTCTCTCTCTCTGTCTCTCTCTCTCACTCTCTTTCACTCTCACTCTCTCTGCTGTCTCTATCACTCTCTCTGCCTCTCTGTGTCTCTCTCTGTGTGTCTCTCTCTGTCTCTCTCTTTGTCTCTCTCTCTGTGTCTCTGTCTCTCTCTATGTGTTTCTCTCTGTGTGTCTATGTGTATGTGTCTGTCTCTGTGTGTTTCTACCTGTCTCTCTCTGTCTCTGACTCTCACTCACTCTCATTCTCTCTCTCTCCCTCCCCCCCCCCTCTATGAATGTTTGGGAATTGAAATTGACATAATATAATTTCAGCACCCTGGACAGCAGATGGCATAGCTCAAAACCTAAGCAGGCTCAAGCTTGGTTGCTATTTGGATGGGAGACGGGCCAGGGAACCCCACAGCTGTAGGATAGATTGGCAAGCCAGAAGCATTTCAAAAGAAATGAACATCAAATCACTTCAAAGTCGATTGCCAAAAAAAAAATAAAAAAATGGAAGCAAGATCAGATTTCAGTTTTATGTATATCTGAACCTGAAGAAGCTTCTTGGATGAGAAGCAAAACATCTTCAAAGAAAAACAGAAAGTCCGGTTGAGAAAAGCACCTTTGGGACACCCATGATCTGGATGACTGAGAATCTCCATAGATATTTGAACTCTATACCACAACTCACCATTTAATTTGAATTGAGTCCTGCTTCTACTGAATATATGCCATAGGTTCCCCTCGCACGTATGTGCCAGTCGTTCCCGACTCTAGGGGGCAGTGGTCATCTCCATTTCAAAGCAAAAGAACCGGTGCTATCCAAAGATGTCTCCGTGGTCATGTGGCCAGCATGACTCAACGCCGCAGGCACACGGAACGCTGTTCCCTTCCCACCAAAGGTGGTTCCTATTTTTCTACTTGCATTTATTACGTGCTTTCAAACTGCTAGGTTGGCAGAAGCTGGGACAAGTCACGGGAACTCACCCTGTTACGCGGCGCTAGGGATTCGGACCACCGAACTGCTGACCTTTCTGATCGACAAACTCAGCTTTCCTCGGTGAACAAAAACAGAACACATGGCCCGCAAAGAGGGAAGTCATCCTTCCAGAGAGTTAAGCAGTTGTTACAGCTTCAGCCAATTTTAGGATTAAATAGATTTCAAATGCAAATAAGACTCCCGAATTTCAGCACCAACTCATTTCATAATAAAATAGCTATTGACAGCAATGTCAGAAAGAGTTTTCTTGGGAATGAGAATTCAGCATATAAACTCTTGAGATTCTGAAAATGGGAGAAGACCAGAAAGATTTGGCAAACTGCCACGGATGTCTTCTCCAGCCAAGTGACACAATCTTTCAAAATCTTTTCTTTTAACATGGCCTTTTCATCTAATATAACAATGTGTATATTTAGGAAAAGTGACGCATAACTATGTGAGTTCAAGACAAGACATGTGCAATAATGAATGTGATTTTAGGGGAAAACACACACTAGGCTTAGGTGAGCAAAAGTTCATACGCCAACACACAAAATGTTTAAGAAGTAGTGTAGGGTATCCTGCCTAAACAGGGGGTTGGACTATGGCCTCCAAGGTCCCTTCCAACTCTGTTATTCTATTCCCTTCCCTTCCATCTTCTATTCTATTCTATTCTATTCTATTCTATTCCATTCCATTCCCTACTCTACTATGTTCTATTCTCTATTCTATTCTATCCTATCCCATCCCATGTTCTATTCTATTCTATTCCATTTCATCCCATCCCATCCCATCCCATCCATTGTTCTGTTCTGTTCTGTTCTATTCCATTCCATTCCCTACTCTACTCTACTCTGTCCTATTCCCTATTCTGTTCTATCCTATCCTATCCTATCCCATCCCATCCCATCCCATCCCATGTTCTATTCTATTCTGTTCTATTCTATTCCATTCCATTCCATTCCATACTCTACTCTGTTCTATTCCCTATTCTGTACTATTCTATCCTATCCCATCCCATCCCATCCCATGTTCTATTCTATTCTATTCCATTTCATCCCATCCCATCCCATGTTCTGTTCTATTCTATTCCATTCCATTCCATTCCCTACTCTACTCTGTTCTATTCCCTATCCTATCCTATCCTAACCCATGTTCTATTCTCTTCTCTTCTCTTCTCTTCTATTCCATTCCCTACTCTACTCTACTCTACTCTGTTCTGTTCTGTTCTGTTCCCTATTCTGTTCTATCCCATCCCATCCCATCCCATGTTCTGTTCTTTTCCATTCCATCCCATTCCTTAAAAGAACAGGCCTCAACGTATGACTGCCATTGGGCACATCATTTCCGCTGTTTAAGTAAGACAGTTGGGGAGTGAGCTTTGTCCCATTTTATGACAGTTCCTAAGGGGCTTTATTTGCATTAGAATGTATGACACTTAGGTGCCAAAATGTTCACACGTGCATTTGATGTTTAAAAAAAAAAAACCTTGGGGAAAAAACATGCTAACCTTCCCCCATCCCTCTGTACAAAATTGCAGAAAATACTAAGCGGTGTATTCTAACCCAAGTATTGCAAATCCTCCCACTTACAACAGTCTGCTTAGTGACTATTTGAAGGCACTGAAAAAAAAACACCTGAGGTTGGAGGTGCCTCCACCCGAGCTACAGATATACGCCGCTGTCGCAAATGGAAAGAAGTGACTTACGACTGTTGT